GGGTGCTAAATAATCTCATCTAAGCTTCCTTTCCCACAAAAGGTTGGATTAGGTGATCTCTCAAAGTCCCTTCCAACCTCAGCTGTTCTATGATATTCTGGATCTCTTAAGACAAAAATCCTTAAATTCTAGAGATAAGAAAAATAAGCAGTGAATTTTATCTAAAAAGGTAACAATGATGCCTGTGTGAAACATTTATTAGCAACCTAATGAACAGACTTTCCTTTCTGACCCTTCCTCTCTATTATAATTGTTGCCACAAATGTCACAGATATTTATTTATGAAAATAGAGAGGAAATACTACTAGGATATCAGAGTTGTTTAATTTATGGTTTGGGAAAACAAACCTTTGGGGAAAAAAAGCCAAGCTTAACATACATCTCTCCTATATTTACACTGAGGTTTTCAAAAGCACCTAAAAAGGTTAAATGCACAAAATGTCACTCAAGTGGAACTGGAGTTGGATGCCTACTGCCTTTATGTCTGTGTAACGTGAGCTGTAGATACAAAGAGAATTTTAAAACACAGGTGATATGAAAACAACCAAAGATATACACTTGATCTTATCTTTCAGCAGTCAGAACATCTGCTCACTAGGAACCAAAACAGCAAAGGTATAGTTTTAATCCTATTCCAGCTACCACAACTGGACAACCCTTCAGAGAAGAAAAGGGGAACAATACTTCATATTGAGCTCTACTTCAGTGGCTTCAAAATCACTGATAATAGAATCACAGAATGGTTTGGGTTGGAAGGGACCTGAAAGATGATCTAGTTCCAACCCCCATGCCATGGGCAAGGACACGTTCCACTAGACCAGGCTGCTCAAAGCCCCATGCCTTGAACAACCTGGCCTTGAACACTGCCAGGGAGGAGGCAGCCACAGCTTCTCTGGGCAACCTGTTCCAGTGCATCACTAAAGAATTTCTTCCTTATAGCTAATCTGAATCTACCATCGTTCAGTTTAAAACCATTAAACCCTTCATCCTATTACTACACTCCCTGATAAAGAGTCCCTCTACAGCCTTCCTCTAGGCCCTCTTTAGGTACCAGAAGGCTGCTATAAAGTCTCCCTGGAGCCTTCTCTTCTACAGGCTGAACAGCCCCAACTCTCTCAGTCTTACCCTTGTTAAGTGTGGTGCTCCAAATCCCTGGTCATCATCATGTCCCTCCTCTGGACCCATTCAAGCAGGTCCATGTCTTTATGTTGGTGGCCCCAGAGCTGAACACAGTACTCCAGGTAGGCTCTCATGAGAAAGGAGTAGAGGGGGAGAATCCCCTCCCTTGACCTGCTGGCTACACTTCTCTTGATGCAGCCCAGGATACAGTTGGCTTTCTGGGCTGTGAGCTCACATTGCTGGCTCATAGTCAGTTTTTCATCCACTAATACCCCCAAGTCCTTCTCCGCAGGGCTGCTCTCAATCCACTCATCCCCCAGCCTGTATTTGTGCTTGGGATTACCTCGACCTTTGTGCAGAACTTTGCTTTCTTGAACACTTTGCCCTCTTGAATTTCATGAGGTTTGCACAGGCCCACCTCTCGAGCCTGTCAAGTCCCTCTGGATGGCACATCCCTTCCCTCCAGTATGTCAACCACTCCACACAGCTTGGTGTTGGCAAACTTGCTGAGGGTGCACTCAATCCCACTGTCCATGTCACCAACAAAGATGTTAAACAACACCAGTCCCAACACCAACCCCTAAGGAACACCACTCGTCACTGCCCTTCACTTCAACATTGAGCTGTGACCGCAGCTCTTTGAGAGTGACCAACCAGCCAGTTTCTTATTCACCAGTGGTCCAGCCATCAAATCCATGTCTCTCCAATTTAGAGACCAGGATGTCATGTGGGACAGTGTCAAATACTTTGCAGAAGTCCAGAGAGATGACATCAGTTGGTCTTCCCTTATCCACCAGTGCTGTAACCCTGTCATAGAAGGCCACCAAATTTGTCAGGCACAGTTTGCCCTTAGTGAAGCCATGCTGGCTGTCACCAATCACCTCCTTACTTTCCACGTGCCCTAGCATAGTTTCCAGGAGGATCCGCTCCATCATCTTTCCAGGCACAGAGGTAAGACTGACTGGCCTGTAGTTCCCCAGGTCTTCTTTTTTCCCCTTTTTAAAAATGGAAATTACGTTTCCCCTTTTCCAGTCAGCATGAACTTCACCAGACTGCTACGACTTCTCAAATACGATGGATAGTGGCTTAGCCACTCCATCTGCCAGTTCCCTCAGGACCCGTGGATGCATCTCATCAGGTCCCATAGACTTTTGTACCTTCAGGTCTCAAATCTGATTTTCTCCTACAGTGAGTGGTTCTTCATTCTCCTAGTCTCCACCTTTGCCTTCTGCAACTCGGGTGGTATGGCTGGAGCACTTGCTGGTGAAGACTGCGGCAAAAACGTTGTTGAGTACCTCTACCTTCTCCATATCCCAGGTAATCACGTCTCCTGTTTCCTTACAGAGAGGGCCCTCATTTTCCCTACTCTTCCTTTTTTCACTGACAGACCTATAGAAGCTTTTAGTGTTGCTCTTGATGTTGCTGGGCAGATTTAATTCTATCAGGGCTTTGGCCTTCCTAACCTGATCCCCAGCTGCTCGAACAGTTTGTCTGCATTCCTCCTGGGCTGTCCTTCTTCCACCCTCCATTGGCTTCCTTTTTGCGTTTGAGCTTGTCCGGGTGCTCCTTGTTCATCCATGCAGGCCTCCTGGTGATTTTGTTGGGATGCATCACTTCCGAGGAGCTGATCCTTGAGTATTAACCAGCTTTCTTGGGCACCTCTTCCCTCCAGGGTTTTATCCCATGGGACTTTGCCAAGCAGATCCCTCAAGAGGCCAAAGTCTGCTCTCCTGCAGCCCAGAGTAGTGAGCTTGCTGTGCATCCTCCTCACTGACCTAGGGATCTTGAACTCCACCATTTCACAGTCACTGCAGCCAAGGCTGCCCTTGACCTTCACATTCCCCAACAGCTCCTCCTTGTTGGCGAGAAGAAGATCCAGCATAGTATCTCTCCTTGTTGGCTCCTCTATCATCTGGAGAAGGAAGTTATTATCATTAATGCATTCCAGGAACCTCCTGGATTGATTATGCCCCGCTGTTTTCTCTCTCCAACAGGTATCAGGGTGGTCAAAGTCTCTCATGAAGACCAGGGCTTGTGAACGTGAGGCTGCTCCTAGCTGTCCATGGAGGTAATCATCTTCTTTGTGGTGAGGTGGCCTGTAGCAGATCCCCACTGTCATGTCACCTGTCCCTGTGCTCCCTTTAATCTTGACCCACAAGCTCTCGGTTGGTTTCTCATCCATTCCCAGGCACAGCTCTATGCACTCCAGCTGGTCATTGACAAGGAGGCTCCTCCTCTCCCCTTCCTGTCCTTCCTAAAGAGCCTGTATCCTTCCATGACAATGCTCCAGACATAGGATTCATCCCACTACATGTCTGTGATACCATTAATATCGTATTCCTGCAGGCGTATGCACGTCTCTAGCTCCTCTTGTTTATTCCCCATGCTATGTGCCTTTGCACATAGAGACACTTAAGTTGGGCCCCCAGTTAAAGCTGATTCACTGTTTGTAATTCCTTTAAGATGCTCTTCATCTGCTCTCCTGATGACCTGTGATTCCTCTCCAGGCTCTGGGCACTTATTGCTGGCATTGGATCAAGCTGGTAGGAGTGGGATTAACTGAGGCTCCCCTCTCCCAGCAACTTTTGTTTAGAGCCCTCTTCACCAGCTTGGCAAGCCTATGGTCAAAGATGCTCCTACCCTTCTCTGGCAGTTGGACCCCATCAGCCCCCAGTAGACCAGGTTTCTCAAAGCGAGTCCCATGGTCTAAGTAGCTTAGCCTCTGGCTGCGGCACCAGTCCTGTAACCATTTGTTGATTTGCCAGATCTGACTGGCCCTTTCAAACCCCTTCCCTTTGACTGGGAGGATTGACGAAAAAACTACCTGTGCTCCAGAGCCCCTTACCACTGCTCCCTGGGGGTCTGTAATAGTGTACAGCTCCTGGCTGTATCACTGGTGCCCATGTGAAACAACAGCAGCAGATAACAGTCAGAGGACTGTAAGAGGCTCAGCAGTCTGAGCCCCCGGTAAGAAGCATGACTCTCTAGAGTGTGTCAGGTCGGCAGATGGGTGCCTCCATACCTCTCAGAAGGGAGTCACCTACTACTATCACCCTTTTCTTCTTTGTGATGGTTGCTATACAGGGAGCAGGTCAGGCTGCGTTACTCAGCTCCAGCATCTTTCCCGATATGACAGGTTTCTCCTCTTCAGTCTGCAGAGTGGCGAAGTGGTCCTGCAGGGGCACCTCAGGCTTCAGGGAAAGTGTCTTTCTCCTGCTGGTTCTTGCTGTTGCCAGCTTCCATTCTTATGTGTTACTGCCACTCCTCCCTTCCGTGTGCACTGCTGGGAGAGCTTTTGGCTCTACGGCTGTGGGCTGTTGGGTCCACTACAAACTGCACTTGGAACCAGCTGTCTAACTCCTTCTCAGCCTCCCTGATGCTACGCAGCCTTCCCACCAACTCCCACAGATCAGGCACCTGCTGCAGGAGGTCCTCTGCCTGGGCACCCCTTTTGCAGGCAGGTTTGCTGCCCGTACCTCCCCCAGGAGAAAGGCCTAGGCCCTTCCTGAAGTTTGAGGTCTCCCTTCAGCAGAACTTTACTCTCTAAGAAAATTTATTTCTATATTGTGGACTATTCAGTGTGAAGTGGAAAGATTTTTATTTTCTTTTTTCTCTCTCTTATTAAAAACAAGTAATAGGAAAAAACTCCTACCGTTACAGAAAATCTGAAAGTCATTTTGGCATATAAATTATTAACACAGTAGTTAATAGACACATAGATTCTTTAAGGATTTGGTTTGGCAAAATACTTAAGCATATGTCTCATAATAAATACCTCAATGAACTTCTGGATGTTGAAGTTAAGCATGTATTTTAGTCACTTACGGAGCCTGAGTGAAAGGAACTACAAGGAAAAAAGCAGAAAGAGTTTGACAACTTACTAAGTATACATCCAAAACCGAAGTATTATCATTTTCCACTTCCAGTGTGCTCTGTTCTGAAGTCAGATAGATAGCACTGTCTTCTAAAGTGAATGTTGAACTCGAAGGTACCCCTTTACTGCAAAGAAAGGGGAGACTACAGTCAATGAAATATATGTTGCAGCTATCACACTCATAGCCTAAAATTTTAACATACAATTTGCTCTTAAACATAAAAACTTAAAATACCTGAAAAGAGGGAATGAAAATGGACAAATATGATGTGTTGACAATGGCTAGATAATTGGCAGGTCATATTTGACTAATGTATACAAATCACAGTTTCTGGTTTTGCATTAACTAAAATTTTATCAGGAAGTAATACTGTTCCTGAACTCTTAATAATTATTTAAAGAATGAAAATGTCACAGTAAATGTGGGATAATTTAATTAATTTCAAACTAAGTTACTTCCATTATTACTTGCGGTGTAAATTTTGGCACCATTTCTTAATTAAGAAAAGGAAAAGAAGATTCAGTAATTAGGCATAGTAGCACTGGACTTTCTCATGTGGAGATGGGATCACTTACAGCCAGCAGTTCAGAGGGAAAGTGGTAGAAGAAGACTGTACTATAATTAGTACAGCTCTGCAAGTAAGTGATATTTACAGAGCATGTGCACTGTATTATTTCATTCACAAATATGATTTTTTTATTCTCTGATATGCAGAAAGAATGTGAAACTGCAAATGCATCCAAACAGGAATCTTATTTTGTTTTGTAAACACACTTGGAACCACAAAGCTGAAATTCTCAAAGGTGTTTTAATGCAGTTAGGTGCCCTTTATCTCCTGTCCTCACTAGATGCCAGAAACTAACAGGTTTCAGGCTGTCTTGAAAACTCAACTGTCAGTTTTGCAGACATGTATTTTGAAAGTTCCTATTTATTTACACACAAGCTGAAAAGCAAGTAATTCTGCATTATACTCTGAAAACATGGTTACAGCCATCAGTCTAGAAATTACTAATCTCCCCCTCCCTTTGCAGCACTTTGTAGTTTAAGTATGTTTCAGATGGGGTATAATTTCAGAAAGGGCAAAGCTACCATGCAAACTAGAAAACTAATTCAAATGCTCAACAAAATAATGAATCATCTGTCACCTTCATGTCATATTAGTATTAAGTGCACAGTATCACATTTGCCACATTACAATGTTCTTTTTAATATATAGTGTATTAGGCATCTTTTCAATATAAAGACTATTTTGTCCTGAGGGTGACCCAGCTCCCACTGACTTACTAGCATTTTTCTCACACCCATTACTTGTATTCTATTGAGCAACATTTTAGTCATATCAGTTTTCTGCCAATGCTTCATTTTACTGAAAGGGGGAGGACAGACAGGAGATGGGAAGGCAAAAAATGGACTGTTGCCAAATGTGAGACTATGTTTTATCATATCCCACAAAATAAGTTCTGGCACGAAAAATACTACTCTTGACAGAAAAGGAGGAGGAACCAGGAGACAGACTCACTTGTGCTTGCAGAATTTTGATTTCTGCTGTCGTACAGTTCAGACCCCTATATGAAAACCACGTGACACAAGATGAATGTGCAGTGAGCAGCTACTACTGCTATAAAAATATGCAAACCCCATGGTCAACCCTTCCTTCTGGAAAACAGTGCTCTGCATTACTAACTGTAAAGCCAAGCAGGCAGGCAGGCTGTGGTATATACCTTGTTTTCATTCCTATATCAGGTTAGGTTTGAAAGCAAAAAAAAATTGAAATAGTTATTCCTTTCATACACATATCAGGCCACATCACTGCCACCTGTACTGCTGTTATTTTTAAATTCTTTCACTGAACCTGTAGTCAAGATGGAGTGAGGATTCTGCAACTCACACCAGTAGCATATTATTTTATATCCTTCATGTATAAGAAGACTATGACTTAGCCCTCCTATTATTTCAGTTTAATACACTGGCTTACGGGGACACTTATTTTTCTTCCTCTCTTCTCTACATTTTCATTAGAACGCACTGGTCTTCTTTTGCTCTCAGCTCATTAAATTATAATCTTTGTTGCTTCACAGCCTGCTGTGGATAGCAAACAATAGCAATGTGAATTCAACACTTGGTCTCAGGATTGTTAAAACTACTGATTTTACTTATGACATAGAATAAAGACAACGCCATCTCCCCTTTGGGGAGTGCCTCTTCTTTCTCCTATGTGTTACAAAAATACACTGTGCAGTCAGGCAGAAAATGAGGGTTGAAAAAAAAACAGCATGCTAAGAGAAATCAAAAGAAGCTCCTATAAATGTCACAAATCAGTTATTTAGTTGTGAAATTCCTAAAACAGAGATTTAATATGTAGGGAAAAAAAGTATTAACATACAGAAAGAAAATGGAGAAAAGGGGCAGAATAAAGTACAAAGGTAGAATAATCTTACATACAGAAAACCAGCAGCAACTAAAGTCCCCTGAACAAAATCAGGCATGGAAGAAGAGAATGAAACAACACAAATGCCAGTCTATCCTTTTTCTTAAAATCATAGATCCACAACTTATTTGCAGATAGCGATCTTCCTGCTGGTGTGACTTTCACACTAACTAATTAGAGATAAACTGAGCAAGTAAGGCTCATCTCTTGTATGAAGAATTGTTTATTAAAATGAGAAGCATAGGTAAACTGTTGCAAGACAGAGCTTTCTATCATAAATCTTAGGTTCATTAACTGGAGAGTAAGAGACTGAACCGTCCACTTTGGGAAGCTAATCTGTAACATGTATAAAGGAGAAAGAGGATATTCCAAGTCACTGCCATATTAACTTATATCTGAAGCCTATGCTGCTGTCAGTACAAAAACAACTGCTTTTGCCAGGACCTGAACTCTCCTGCAACTGCAGTATAGCGCTCATGTATAATAACGCAGTAACACCTTAGTTACAACTGCTTAGTGAGAAATCATTTTCATGGCAGAATATGACAATAATTTTGCTTGTTGGACTTGCCTTGCAATGACAGCATGAAGAACATGCATCCCAACTGGCTAAGTGCCTATGAAGATAAGCATAAGATTTCCAATTTTCATATGAAAAGAGGGAAAAACAAGAAGTTTGTTTGTTTGTTTGTTTGTTTGTTTGTTTAAGGTCTCATCCTTAGTGTTAATGTGGATCCTATTTTAAGCAGCACTAAATATTTTATCCCTATCCTGAAGTGAGGAGAAAAACTATACTTTAACCTTCTAAATCAGCACATTTCAACACATTTAATCAATAACCAGGCTGAAGTTCTCTTCCTCTGCAGAAGTAAATAAAATAAAACTTCCATTTCTCAACATTCTTCTAAAATGCTCTCTTGGACATGATATGCAAAAAACTCCTCACTCAAAGTAGTTCAAAACGTTTTAGAGAGTTAGGGAATATTACTTATATGAACATGCAAATGTGGTGTTGGGCACAAGATCTTCAGTAGGAACAACTAAATTAGACTGATTATCTGCAGATTTGTAGAAAAGCATAACTTCTATACATTTTAATCTAAGGATAATATATATGCGATCCTATTAAGTTTCAAAGGAATAAAGGAAAAATATTACACTTTGTCAAGGTACAGGCATAACCAGGCAGGATTATCTAAATTAATAATAGTAATAAAATAGGAATATTAAAAAAAAAAAATTAGAAGACTTGTGTCCTTCAAACTCTCCCAAATTTTAATTACTATTTCTGTCCTTCATATTTTATTTATACTAAACTGAAGTGTCAGTTTTAAAAATAAAAGACTTCTGTTTTCTTCATGGAAAAATAAATACGCCTCATCATAATGTGTCTACTTGCAAGGCAGCCTGCAGGACAGGTAGAACTCTTCAGTCTCCTTTCCAAGTCATTGCACAGTCTTTGAAGAATGGCAGAAACAGTGCCAGGTAGTTAACAACTGACTGAAGCAGAAGTTTCAGCTGTATTTTGGTTTTAGTTTGTTGTTTTGGTTTTGGGTTTTGTTTTTTTTTTTCTCCTGCAGTGTGAAGAACAGCTCTTGTAGGAATGTTCAGCTTCTTTCAGATAGTGCCAAAATACAACAGTCATAAATTAGAATGAGTCACTCAGTCTCCCTCATTGTGAAGTTACAATAAAAATAGGCTTTGATGTCTATCTTTGGATGTCAAATATGCGTTTGTATAGCATATCCCACAGAATATTTAGGCCTTAAATAGCATTATATTTGCAATGTCCAATGTGTTTGAAAATTCTTATATAAGCTTTTAAATAAATTATCAGCTCATTGCATCATGAGTTTTGATCTTTAAAATCTCTGTGTATAGAAGTTACTCAGAAAAACATTTTTAGAATAAATGAGCAGTAAAACTATTGTTCTAAGGTACAACTCAGTACCAACTGTTGCAGAAAATCTATCCTGAGTAGGTATAGATGTGAACTGGGACAACAGGTATTTATGGACCTGTTGAACTAAATGTATTAATTAGTCTAATGTTTACAATGTAAACCTACTTGCATTTCATCTTTATAAATTATATGTGTGTCTGGAAAAAAAAAAGTCAGACATAGTAAAACTCCACTGTAATATTTCACTAACACTGCTGACAAACATCAAAACTACAGGCTGGAGAAAATGATATGACTGGTCTCATAAGTGCTGCTTCAAGTGAAGAAGTCTGACAGTGAGTCTGTGCTACTACACTCAAACTAATGGCAAACCATGACATGTGAATCAGCAAACATCACAGTAAGCACGTCAATTTCATGATGGTCAACAACTTTATACACCTTTGCAGGTGCCAATTAAAATCATGACACCTGACATATGTATGTAGATGAAAAATGATGGTGTAAGCTAATGAGAATTTAGGAACTCAGTCTAGATTACAAAATGCTGAGTAATAACAGCCAAATCCACTGAAAAGTACACATCAACGTGTATCAACCCTTGGAAGGATCTACACTTGAAGTTTGATCTAAGAAGCTGCTCTGGATCTTCCTCACCAGAAAGTAATGAAATTAGACTTGCAAGGATGAGTATGGAATATGAAAAGCAGCATGCTGAGGGACAAATTCAGTCAAGGAAACAAGTGCTTATGTATTAAGTAACTTCTATTACCACTGGAGTTTCATATGCACA